TTTAATGCATCTTGTAGCAGTGGGGTGCAAAAGTTTGATAGTTTTCTTTCCAATGAGTGCCCAGAGGAGCAGGAGAGCCAGTTTAGCTATGTTTATTTTTGCAAGCTTTGGAGCTGAAGAATGCTTCAGATGTAAGCTGATTACTGCTCAGGACAGAGGACTTGATTGCCCCTACTCCTGCCTGTATGCCATTGCATAATTGGTTAGATGCAGGCAAAGAGTCAACATGGCTTGGAAAAAAGTCAACGTGGCTTTTGCAAAGGGAACTCATGCCTCTCTATTGCCAATCTATTAGCATTTTTTGAGGAGGCCGACAAATGTGTGAACAAGGGTGATCCAGTGGATATAGTGTGCTTGGACTTTCAGAAAACCTTTTGACAAGGTCCCTCACCAAAGGCTCTTAAGCAAAATGAGCAATCATAGGATTAGGGGAAGATCCTCTCATGCATTAATAACTGGTTAATAGAAAACAAAGGGTAGGAATAAATGATGAGTTTTCCCAGTGGAGAGAGGTAAAAAGTGGGATTCCGCAAAGATCTGTACTAAGACCAGTGCTGTTCAATTTATTCATAAATGATCTGGAAAAGGGGGTAAACAGTGAGGTGGCAACATATGTAGACTATACAAAATAATTCAAGATAGTAAAATCCAAAACAGACTGCAAAGAGTTACAAATGTGTCTTACAAAACTGGGTGACTGGGCAAGAAAATGACAGATGAAATTCAGAGTTGATAAATACAATGTATCGCATTTTGGAAAACATAATCCCATCTACACATACAAAATGATGGGATCTAAGCTAGCTGTTACCACTCAAAAAAGAGATCTTGGAGTCATTGTGGAAGGTTCTCTGAAAACATCCACTCAATGTGCAGCGGCAATTAAAAAAGTTAACAGAATGTTAGGAACCATTAGGAAAGGGATAGGTAATAAAACAGAAAATATCACAATGCCACTATATAAATCCATGGTACATCCACACTTTGAATACTGTGCGCAGTTCTGGTCACTCCATCTCAAAATAGGCACATTAGAATTGGAAAAAAAATCTATAAAATCATGAATGGTGTGGAGAAAGTGAATAGGGAAGTGCTATTTACCCGTTTACATAACACACAAACCAGGGGTCACCAAATGAAATTAATAGGCTGCAGGTTTAAAAAAAAACATAAGAAAATACTACTTCACACAACTCACAGTCAACCTGTGGAACTCCTTGCCGGGGATGTTGCCAGGCCAAACATATGACACAGTTGAAAAAGAATTAGATAAGCTCATAGAGGATTGTCTATCAATTGCTATTAGTCAAGATAGTCAGGGATGCAACCCCATGCTTAGGGTGTCCCTACATCTCTGACTGCCAGAAGCTGGGACTGGATGACAGGGGATGGATCACTGAATGAAGTGCCCTGTTCTGATCATTCCCTCGGAGGCACCTTGTACAGGCCTCTGTTGGAAGACAGGATATTGAGCTAGATGGACCATTGATCTGATGCAATGTGACCATTCTTATGTTCTTAAGGATTCACTACAGCCTTTCTTGTAATAGCCCTGCAATCTTTCCAATTTAAAGCTTCCCATTTAATGCTGATATTCATCCTACAAGGCATTGCATTCTCTGTTTATACTAGATCTGAACACCACGGGGACACTGAATTAAATTGAAAGGAGGGAAAGTGAAGACTGATCAAAGGAAGTATTTTTCCACACAGCCTATAATCAGACTGTGAAACTCATCGCCACAATAAGTCATTAAGGCCAGAAACTTAGCAGGATTCAAAAAGGAACTGGACATTTATATGGATAACAAGAATATGCAGTGTTATAATTTTTAATGCTAAAAAATACTTTGGAAGCAATATTAAATTTCATGCTCAGGGTTTAATGCAACCTCCAACTCTTAGGAGTTAGGAGGAGACTTCTATAAGGAGCAGATTATCCTACATAGGCCTAATATTAGGTTTTGTACTCCTTGTTCCAAAGCATGTGGTGCTGGCCACTGTCGGTGACAGGACTAGATAGCCGATAGATTTGAACCCACATGTCAATTTCTATGTTCCCATGTAAAGTATGGTGTAAATCTATGGTGCTATTTAACAACACGCACAAAAAAAACTGTTAAAAAATATTAGTAAGGCTGCCAAGTCAAGCACTTAGTACTAATACCATTACTAAGGTTGCCTGTGCAAGCTTCATTCGCCCCCTTTGTGTGCATGCGTAACGGTGCAGTCTATAATTACATCATCACATGCTATTCTTTCTCCATGATCCCAGCATATGCACAGTCCTATCAATACTGGGAGCTTCAAGGGGATGGAGAATGCTCAGCGAGGCCAGAAGCTTTAGGGATTTTAGCTGTTAAGCTTTAGCAAGTCTGAGTATGTGCAAACTGTATTTTTTTCAAGGGTCTAGACCTTGGCCAAATTTGGGTAGACTTTCATGGAGACAGCAAAAGACACCTCACACACACACACACACACACACACACACACACACACACACACACACACACACACACTCACTGTCCCCATGGCCAAAATTTCAAGTCCCTGCTCCAAAATATGGGGCACTAGAGCTTTTCAGAGAAAAGATCTCAATAATTTAACATGGGCAGAACAATGTATTTTTCCTAGCCTCATTCTCAGAAATAACTGAGCCATGTTGGCTGCAGTTTTCCAGAACAATTCAGCTTGAGGCAGACCCCCAGCATGGAAAACTTCAGCTCAGATGGTTAATATTTGGCAAGGTTATAAGCAATTAAAGGCAGGGTCTTATAATGGGAAGGGTTTGGCAACCTTAATAATAGGCTGTGCTACCAGCCCCAACTATAATAATTAATAATGCAAAAGCACACAGTCTTAACAAATAATGTTAAGCAAAAGAGAACCAAAACAACCTCCCTTTCCACATGAGCTCCGAAATACACCATATCATCACAGATAATAGAAAAGGAGGACTTGTGGCACCTTAGAGACTAACCAATTTATTTGAGCATGAGCTTTTGAGAGCTACAGCTCACTTCATCAGATGCATACTGTGGAAAGTGTAGATCTTTTTATATACACAAAGCATGAAAAAATACCTTCCCCCTACCCCATTCTCCTGCTGGTAATAGCTTATCTAAAGTGATCACTCTCCTTACAATGTGTATGATAATCAAGTTGGGCCATTTGCAGCACAAATCCAGGTTTTCTCACCCCCCCCCCCCACACACACACAAACCCACTCTCCTGCTGGTAATACCTTATCTAAAGTGACCACTCTCCTTACAATGTGTATGATAATCAAGGTGGGCCATTTCCAGCACAAATCCAGGGTTTAACAAGAACGTCTGGGGGGGGGGAGGTAGGAAAAAACAAGGGGAAATAGGTTACCTTGCATAATGACCCAGCCACTCCCAGTCTCTATTCAAGCCTAAGTTAATTGTATCCAATTTGCAAATGAATTCCAATTCAACAGTTTGTCGCTGGAGTCTGGATTTGAAGTTTTTTTGTTGTAATATCGCAACTTTCATGTCTGTAATCGCGTGACCAGAGAGATTGAAGTGTTCTCCGACTGGTTTATGAATGTTATAATTCTTGACATCTGATTTGTGTCCATTTATTCTTTTACGTAGAAACTGTCCAGTTTGACCAATGTACATGGCAGAGGGGCATTGCTGGCACATGATGGCATATATCACATTGGTGGATGTGCAGGTGAACGAGCCTCTGATAGTGTGGCTGATGTTATTAGGCCCTGTGATGGTGTCCCCTGAATAGATATGTGGGCACAGTTGGCAATGGGCTTTGTTGCAAGGATAGGTTCCTGGGTTAGTGGTTCTGTTGTGTGGTATTTGGTTGCTAGTGAGTATTTGCTTCAGGTTGGGGGGCTGTCTGTAGGCAAGAACTGGCCTGTCTCCCAAGATTTGTGAGAGCATTGGGTCATCCTTCAGGATAGGTTGTAGATCCTTAATAATGCGTTGGAGGGGTTTTAGTTGGGGACTGAAGGTGGTGGCTAGTGGCGTTCTGTTATTTTCTTTGTTAGGCCTGTCCTGTAGTAGGTGACTTCTGCTTTGTGTGTATAAAAAGATCTTCTACACTTTCCACAGTATGCATCCGATGAAGTGAGCTGTAGCTCACGAAAGCTTATGCTCAAATAAATTGGTTAGTCTCTAAGGTGCCACAGGTACTCCTTTTCTTTTTGCGAATACAGACTAACACGGCTGTTACTCTGAAACCTATCACAGATAATAAATCTTTTGATCTTAGCCACCAGGCCACACAACCTCTTCTATAGACTTTTAGCACAACTGCATAACTGTAATTGATCTGTTTTATTTTGGGGTGGGTGTCAATAGGAGAGTACTAACAAACAGTAGGATTAACCTGCTTGTCCTTCAAATGTCATCGTTTCCCTGTGGAAATACAACTGCATTTTTTTTTCTTCTGGGTATCAATATAGTAATCCTTAAAGACAAAATACGGAACAGTCAATTTCAAGCATCTGCTTCACCATCAGCCAGTAAATAAGGATATTATAATATTGAGATGCCCTTGATCTGCCATAATATAACACTGTTCACATTCATTGCAAGTCAAGTTGCTTAGATACAGCAGTGATACCTGTTGCAGGAATGTAACAGAGAAACAGGTGAACCTTTTCTAATGTACAATTCAAGACATTCAGACTGTTGTTTCAGGGATGCTGACTTTGTGTTTTCTAAACAACAAGAGACAAAACATGTTTAAAATATAAATATTCTTCACAATGCATTGCACATTAAGTATTTTATTAGCATTATTAATTACTATTATTAGATTATTATTTGTACAATATGGGAATCTTTTTCCAGACCATACATTTCAAAATTACCCTTAGTAAAGCTTGCACATATCCACAGGGCGATAGGTGAAGAGCAGGAAGAACCATTACGCATTTAATAACGGACTATATAATTTAAAAAAAAACATTTTTGAAACTTTTGAAAATTAAACAATGTAAAGTCAAAAATACATACCTGGGGGAGGACTGAGCAGCTGGGATTGGAGGATTTATGGACTGGGACAAAGAGAGAGACGAATGAAATGGAGGAATGAGAGGACTAATGGAATGGAAAGGGAACTGATGGATAGTGAGGGTAGATAGAATTGGTGGGAGACAAATTGATGGATTAGGGCAAGCAGCAAATCAGTGCACTGAGAGAGAGGGAGAACTAATGGTGGAAGGGGTAGAAATGCTTGAATATGTGTGGAGGTGATTGATGGATGTGGGTGGGGTTCTGTAGCATGGGCCCCATGTTGGGTTTTTTAAATTTGCATTACAAATCCTGCATATAAATGTTATGCAATTTTTTTCCTCGGGCTTTTGCTGTACCAAGATAGGCAGGTCTGGACAGGACACTACCTGTTTGCTTAGCTATAAAATTTATTTTGACAGAGTTGGGTAATGTCTTTTATGGTCCCTGAACAGGGGAGGTGGTGGTGGTGAGGGGGAGCAAGCTTTGTACATGAGCATAATGAAATAAGTAAGCTATGTGTAAATGCCAGCTAAAGCTGGTTAAGAGGGTTTGTGTTAATGCCTTTAATTTGCTCCAGATGTGCTTGCAAGGGAGAATTTGGATTAGTGAAGCTTGGAAAGGTCAAAGGGAAAGCAACGTTCTCTGATTTACAAGTGGAATTACTAGGATGAAAACTGCCTGTTTTGATAACTCTGCAATTGTCAGAGAAGTTAATGATTTTATTCACCGTACTGGGAGAGACTTTGAAAGGGCACTGGGAGAGACTTTGATCTTACTGGAGGAGGTATCTCCAGCAGTGAGTTATTAATATTTTAGGAACATACCAGCTATTAGAGAGTACCCAAAATGCTTGTGCTGATGGGGTTCAGAGTGGTTACTGGATTTCACTTAGGTTTCGTGGGACAAAATGTCCACATTACAAAAACCACTGCTGCAATCAGCTTTAATTAGCGTCTTTGTTGGCTATATCTGCAAATGCATCAAGGACTTTTTTTGTATGTGAACTTAAAAAGCAGCATTAAATGCTGACGTCCAAGTTTGTCATCCATTCTGTCTCTTCCAAGGACTGAATGGTCATAGAGGTCAAACAATCTCATTGCCCTTAGTGACTGGCCTGCAAGAGGACTGTCTTACTAGAAAATTAGATCATGTTAGAACACAGCTGTGAGAAGCAGGTCCTCAGATACTATGGTGAGGATCATGGCATGAGAACCTATATAGATTAGAATAGAAGTCATGTTAATTAATATGATAAATGTGACTCTTAGTTGCAGGTGATTGTTAGGGGGCTTATTCCTTCACCCACTTACTTCCCTGGTCCTTCTCGCATGAACAGAGAGCAACAATACCCGAAGTCCAAAGGTGCAAACAATTCGATGTTTATTGGGGTGAACTTCCAGCAAGCATGATTCCAGTTTCCTTCCTTAGTATCCTCCTTCCCAGCTCTGACACCATAGAGCCTTACACCTGTGTCCCTGTTCCCATTCCTACCCTTAGCCAAACATGATTCCAATTTTCTTACCCCCATTCCCTGCTCCCATTTCCCACACCCACATGCCCACCCCCACCCACACCCACACCCAGTCACTTCCTCATTGACTACAGATTATATAGTAAAACTTGAGTTCTGCTTAGCTATACCTTAACCAATCATTTTCCTGAAATTTAACTAACCAATCCTAACATATTGTAACATGATTATGTAACCAATTATATCCCACCACCTTAATTAGTTTACACCCAGCAAAATTAATTATACAGCAGACAGGAACAATCACAGAACCAGACAGAGATTATACAGACAAACAATAGCAAAGTGGGAACTACAATGACAAGACAACACAGAAGTGAGGATTTCACATCCCAGCTATTGATAAGTGAGTTCTTGCCAGACAGGATGCTATCAAACTAAGTTTCCTTTTACATTTTCTAGGCACTTCCCTTTCTCTGGAGGTGATAGGAATACAATCCTGTCCTGATAGTGCCTAACAGCCCAATAGCACCTTATTTCAATGTGACTAGTTTGGAATGTGAGGATGTGACCGTTCGCTTCCCAGGTTATGGCTGCCTCTGCTGCTTAGCCAAAGGCCTGAGCCTAAGCACAGGGCCACAAACTGTCACAGTAAGAGAAGGCCCTTACACTGGCAGACAGTGGTTTTGATTCTTTCTTTTATACCTCTGGAACTAGCCAAGTGATAAGAATACACCTAAATTCTTAAAGTACAGGCCTTTGCAGACAGGCCTGAATATCTATATCCTAACAGTCATGTTTAACATTGTGTCAGCTGGTCGCAGGTTAACACAGGGTTAAGTGTGACTTTTCTGTCTACGCTAGCTACAAAGTCAAATTTAATATTGTGTGTGTTAACATGTCTCCAGGTTTGTATTCTATAAGTCCCAAAGTCAGGGCTGAGACATGTTGGTAGGGCAATGTGGAGAAGCTTCCACTTTTGATGGCCATGCCCTACCTACTCTGTAAAAAGACTGAAATCTTCTGTTTATCTACCCAAGTATCTTCGCAAGCATTACATTTACATTGTATTTATTTTTTTAAGTAGAAACAAACAAAAATGGACTATAATAAATTGTTGTGGTTGATTGAAAAATTCTTTATGTGGAACTACTCTGTGACTATAGCACTTCTGTTTAAACAAGAATCATAAAATCATAGTATCGTAGGGCTGGAAGGGACCTTGAGAGAGATCATCTAGTCCAGTCACCTGCACTCAAGGCAGGACTAAGTATTATTCTAGACCATCCCTGACAGGTGTTTGTCTAACCTGCTCTTAAAAATTTCCAGTGATAGAGATTCCACAACCTCCCTAGGCAATTTATTCCAGTGCTTAACCACTCTGACAGTTAGGAAGTTTTTCCTAATGTCCAACCTAAATTGCACTTGCTGCAATTTAAGCGTATTGCTTCTTGTACTATCCTCAGAGGTTAATGAGAACAATTTATCTCCCTCCTCCTTGTAACAACCTTTTATGTACTTGAAAACGGTTATCATGTCCCCTCTCTGTCTTCTCTTCTCCAGACTAAACAAACTCAGTTTTTTCAGTCTTTCCTCACAGGTCATGTTTTCTAGACCTTTAATCATTTTCATTGCTCTTCTCTGGACTCTCTCCAATTTGTCTACATCTTTTGTGAAATGTGATGCCCAGAACTGGACACAATACTCCAGTTTTCAGAGTAGCAGCCCTGTTAGTCTGTATTCGCAAAAAGAAAAGGAGTATTTGTGGCGCCTTAGAGACTAACCAATTTATTTGAGCATAAGCTTTCGTGAGCTACAGCTCACTTCATCGGATGCATTCAGTGGAAAATACAGTGGGGAGATTTATATACATAGAGAACATGTATATAAATCTCCCTACTGTGATTTCCACTGAATGCATCCGATGAAGTGAGCTGTAGCTCATGAAAGCTTATGCTCAAATAAATTTGTTAGTCTCTAAGGTGCCACAAGTACTCCTTTTCTTTTTTGCGAATACTCCAGTTGAGGCCTAATCAGCATGGAGTAGAGTGGAAGAATTACTTCTTGTGTCTTGCTTACAACACTCCTGCTAATACATTCCAGAAGGATGTTCGCTTTTTTTACAACAGTGTTACATTGTTGGCTCATATCTAGCTAGTGATCCACTTTGACCCCCAGATCCCTTTCTGCAGTACTCCTTCCTAGGCAGTCATTTTGCATTTTGTATGTGTGCAACTGATCGTTCCTTCCTAAGTGGAGTACTTTGCATTTGTTCTTCTTAAATTTCATCCTATTTACTTCGTGCCATTTCTCCAGTTTGTCCATTGTCTCTCCATTTTGAAAGTTAATCCTATCCTCCAAAGTGCTTGCAACCCCTCCCAGACTGGTCTCATCCACAAACTGTATAAATGTACTCACTCTGCCATTATCTAAATCATTAATGAAGATACTGAACAGAACCAGGCCAAGAACTTATCCCTGTGGGACCCCACTTGATATGCCCTTCCAGCTTGACTTTGAACCAATGATAACTGGTTGGAAAAAACGTTCCCAGAGACTAGTTATGTGCCCACCTCATAGTAGCTCCATCTAGGTTGTATTTCCCTAGTTTGTTTATGAAAAGGTCATGTGAGACAGTATCAGAAGTCAAGACACTAAAGTCTTACTAAAGACTTTAGTAAAGTCAAGACACACTATGTCTACTGCTTCTCCCTGATCCACAAGGCTTGTTATCCTGTCAAAGAAAGCTATTAGGTTGGTTAGACACAATTTATTCTTGACAAATCCATGCTGACTGTTACTTATCACTTTATAATCTTCTAAGTGTTTGCAAATTGATTGCTTAATTATTTGCTCCCTTATCTTTCTGGGTACTGCAGTTGAGCTGACTGGTCTGTAATTCCCCAGGTTGTCCTTATTTCCCTTTTTATAGTTTGGTGCTATATTTTCCCTTTTTCAATCCTTTGGAATCTCTCCTGTCTTCCATGACTTTTTGAAGATAATTTCTGTTTGCTCAGATATCTCTTCAGACAGCTCCTTGAGTATTCTAGGATGTATTTCATCAGGCCCTGGCCAACTGAAGACATCTAACTTGTTGAAGTAATTTTAACTTGTTCTTTCCCTATTTTAGTCTCTGATCCTACCTCATTTTCACTGTCATTCACTGTGTTAGATGTCCAATCCATATTAAATTTTTTGGTGAAAACTGAAACAAAAAAGTCATTTCACACTTCTGCCACTTCTACATTTTCTGTTATTGTCTTTCTCGCTCACTGAGTAACAGGCCTACCCTGTCCTTGGTCTTCCTCTTCCTTCTAATATATTTGTAGAATGTTTTCTTGTTACCCTTTATGTCTCTAGCTAGTTTAATCTCGTTTTGTGCCTTGCCCTTCCTAATTTTATCCATACATACTTGCGTTATTTGTGTTTATTCATCCTTTGTAATCTGACCTAGTTTCCACTTTTTGTAGGACTTTTTTGAGTTTCAGATCATTGAGGCTCTCCTGGTTAAGCCAGGGTGGTCTCTTGCCATTCTTCCTATCTTTCCTATTCCGAGGGATAATTTGCTCTTGTGCCCTTAATAATGTCTCTTTGAAAAACTGCCAACTCTCTTGAACTGTTTTTTCCTTTAGACTTCCTTTACATGGGATCTTACCTACAAACTCTCTGAGTTT